TATATATTAGAGCTGTCAGTTTAGCGCGTTATTATTGGCATTAATTTAAATGAATTTTAATGTCATTACATTTTTTCTCGCGAGATTAACGCGGCACACGTCACAGCGGATGTTACGTTGCTCTGTAAATAAACCGGAAACAAAACAAAAAGCGCGCTGCACAGGTCCACGCCAATGTCTGTTTTGCCAGCCACGGCAGCGCGAAACACCGAAAACGGATACCTAAAGAGTTTATGAATGGAAAGTTTACTTTAAAAAAGTTGCCAGATGGTTCCACTGACAAGACCAAAGTTACCTGTATGTTTTGCAGTCGTAAACTGAGCTATCATCATAGCACGTTGAGTCTGAAATACTACTTAATGGCCAAGCACACAGCTGATTTAAGTACTCCGCCCCCTCGTCTAAGACAGACAGCGATGGATAATTTCAAAGCGAAGAAAATGGATAACACGACGAAGAAAAAATTTGCTGAAGCCATAGCTAAATGTATGGCAACTGCATGCGATCCTGTCAACATTGTCCACGGCTCGACTCAAGCTGAAATCATTTGCATTGCATCTAACGACTCCACTACGGATTGCCAGCGAGAGCCTCCATTACAAGCTATGTACAGAAATAGTTCGTAGCGGAGAAGGCTGAGGTACACCAAGCGGGAGAAGACACTGTTTCGGGGGAGAAATAGGAGACTAGATTGATGAGCCTCTGGTGATAAAAGAGCAGGTAGCCTGTTGAGTATGATGTATGCCACTGACGCGATTGTTACTTGTTTGGAACTATTTTGTGTGGAAGGTTACCATGTTCCGTGTCCATATAAATAATGGGGGTGGAGCTTCTCTGTGTTCGTCTGACAGTGACGGTGCGCTGAGGCACGTCGAGAGTTCAGCAGTGCAGTCGTAGCGACCTAGCGACCACACTGAAAAGAAAACGTCTCCAGTGTTGTGCGTGCCTCGAACAAAGTGTAGTCATCCAAAATAATGTCTACACAAAACCATCGAGAGACTTCCGCGCAAGAAGGACCAACAGAATCAACATAGCTTGACTGCTATGTTCAAAGCAAATTTGAGAAAAACGAAGTATGCAACCATGGCTTAAACCCACTACAGGCTGAGTACTAGTTTACCTTAGATGTGCACTTTATAATTTTATCTTGCACTGTATTGATTCCCTAAAAAGAGCTGTTAAAGGAGCTGTTGTGTGGCAAAAAAATTTTTTTCACTGTTGTTGATAGACAGTAATATTGTGTGAGATTATGTGTGAATAACTGCTCCAAGTGAAAAATGCTCATGTAAAATTGAAAATCGAAATTGTTGTTTCAGTAAATATTAGCATTTTGCACGTAGAAAACTGATCCATGATTCCATGTTGATGAGAGCATTAAAACGGGAAAAAATAGGACAAAAGAATATAAAAGGAAATTCAGAATGATAAAAAAAATGAGTTAATTTAATTATGACAGTTGCTTTTTTTAATTTGAATAAATATTTTAATCGTTTGACAGCTCTAATATATATACAGTATATACATATACACACACACACACACACACACACGGTATATATATATATATATATATATATATATATATACACACATATATATATATATATATATATATATATATATATATATATACATACATATATATATATATATACATACACACACACACACACACAAAACAATTTGAAATTTGGAGATGATTTTATCAAGAATCGTGGAAGTTGACGCCAGATCTGGCCCCTAAAGGAGCCTTAAGTTGCGTTCAAAGACAACGTGAAACATCGACTAAAGGATAAATTATGACAAAGAAGTAAACATTGTGCCAAAAATGTATTGGAGTAAGTTTAATCATTTTTCATTTGTGAAAAACAAGCAGATACAATATTCTTCCTAAACCGTCGTCAAACAAACACACAAATAAATAAATAATGTGCACAAATAAAGGCTTTACGTAAACCTAGAAACACCTAGCCAGATAGTATTACTAAACTGCCCTGGCTACTTCTACAATAAAAGCACTGAATATTCTAATGTCCGACTTAAAAAGTCGCACTTGAACATCATGCGCAGAAGCTTACTATTAGCTCTTCGCTACTTTCAGTCTTAAAGATGCGTTCAAAGAATACTCGAAACATTAGCCAAATGACAGTCCACCCCGAAGAAGTCCAACTATAAGTTCTATCTTTTAAAGAAACGTGACCTCTATGGTGGAAATGGTAGCTAATGATTTGCAGAATTTCCCTCCATATTAAAGCTCGACCTCCGTCGTCTTGTCAACCAGGAAGAAACTCAAGGCAAACTTCCTTCACCTTTGCGGATATGCGTCACTCTCCCCCCCACAAAGGCGAGCATGTCGTCGCTACTTCTCCGCGGGTTGTCGTCGTCCCGTGCCGGTTCCCAGGGTGCCCGAGTGCTGGCGACCGTAGCCGGCTTCAGTGGCGCTCAGGGCGGCAAGCAGCAGCACACGGAGGCTGCAAGTGGAGTCAAGGAGGTGGAACTCAAGAGACTGCCCGGGAAGGACGAAGGTAGAAGGAACCCAAGTCTCGCAATGACACGCTTCAAATTCATGCGAACCATAACTAATTCACCCTTTTTTATTATTCCTAATAATGGCTCAGGGAGTTGTATTTTGATGAGCTGGGTACATTTAGGATTGGATGCTCCCTAAAATTTAAAAAAGGAGTCTGCTAGTTAATCATTTTGGAGGAGTTGGAGACTTGTCATTGAAGACTGTTGAGGTAAACTGTGCAGTTTCTACCTCCATAAAGTCTCCAACTGGTCCAAAAGGCTGCTGCCCGAGTACTGACTATTTACCTCAGAGATGTAAAAAGAATTGTAATCCTTTAGTGAGTAACATCATGAATAGGTCTCCAACACTGTTTACCTCGAACAAGTCTGTCAAAATCATTGACTCAAATAATTCCACGCTGAGGTTCTTTACGAGAATAACTACAATGTCATGGTGCTTTGTTTAAACATTTGTTCATTCTGTTGTTCAGGTATCGTGGAGGTGCTCATGTGCAGACATCATGCCCGGAACGCTTTGGGCCATGTGTTTGTGTCTCAGGTGGGTACACACACACACACACACACGCAGGTACACAATCGCACATGCACACACATGACAACTTGAGTAAAAGCATTTGTGTGAGCAGATGAAGGAGCTGGTGTCCATGGTGTCCAGTGACTCGGCAGTGCGCGTGCTTGTCTTCAGGAGTTTAATTCCTGGTGTTTTCTGTGCAGGTGAGCACTGTATCGTGAAAATGTTGATTTCGATTAAAATTGATTGACTTTGGAGGCATGGTTTTACAGAAAATGCAAATTTGAAATTTAAATTGGTTGATCTTTTGGTTTGAAATTTTAAATTGCTGAACGTTCTGGTTTAAAAATTTACAAATTTGGTTCAAACATTTGAGACATATTTTTCCAGAATAAAAAAACTGATTCCACTGCAGTTTTTGCTGGGCTTTGCAGGCGCAGACCTAAAAGAAAGGGCTTTGATGAACAGCCAGGAGTCCGATTTGTTTGTTCACGGGCTGCGATCTCTCATGACTCAGATCGGTAAGAGGAGGAGAAGAAATGTTCAGCTTTTCCAATTTAAAGGTTTAAAAAACTTGACATAACTTCTTTGGTGTTGTTCAGCCTTGTTGCCAATGCCCACCATAGCAGCCATCGACGGTGTGGCTGTGGGAGGTGGATTGGAGCTCGCCTTGGCCTGTGATCTCCGCACGGCTGGTGAGTGACATTTTCAGCATTCCAAAACTCAAACTTTGGCAAATTCTATCAAGGGATTTCCGGTCGATGAGGTCCAATTTTAAATAAAAATAGTTTGACCTCTTAAAAGGCTATTTTTCCCAAATATTTTGGATGTGAAATTCAATTGGCTGCAATTTTGAGTTCAGATTTTGTCGGAAATTTTCATTACAAATTCTGATTTTTAAGGTGTTAATCTGCTTGTCCCAGTCCTTTGATTGACATTTGACCAGTCCAGGTGGTCTCCACACACACATACAGCAGAATGCTGCTTAGGCCTTAATGACGCTCATCATCTATGACCTTCATTCATCCTCTTGTGCTTTTTTCCCCAGCGTCTTCTGCACAGATGGGCCTGATTGAGACGACGCGGGGGCTGCTCCCAGGGGCCGGTAAGACGTCACGCTCCAAAATCTTTACCAGGGGCAAAGAAAGCTTTGACTTTGAGATTTTTTTTTTTTTTTTGGGTGCAGGGGGCAGTCAGCGGCTGCCTCGTACTGTGGGAATGGCACTGGCAAAGGAGCTCATCTTCACAGGTGGTATATGAACCTGCATAAAGTCAAAATCCCTATGAAAGAAAAGATCTAAATGATTTTGAAAAATAATCTAAATGCGAAGCAGCACCACAAATAAAAAGAGCGTACAACAATATCAGGCATACTGTACATTCTCCAAAACAAAAAGTAATTTTGACGTTGGATGGTAATTATAAACCTTCAAACAACCTCCACTTTCTTACACACGGAACAGCAGCGCACATAAAATAGAGCGTATAACAAAACCCACTGGCAAATATTCACCCTGCTTTATAGGAAAAATAATGACAATTACTTGGAATTTGATTTGATTCTTCTTCATACTGTTAAAAACACTCCATTTCTTCCAGTAGAGCTCAGTGCTGCCCATCATGATGTGGCAGAACATGGTACTGCATGGATGCAAACCCATAAATAATTGCTGAAAAATATTCAAAATTACTGTGAAGTATAGCGGGGGTTCACTAGTACCCAAGGGTCATGTACAATGTAATGTAATTTATATATATATATATATATATAAATAAAAATATTTTTTTTTATTTTTTCCTGGCAGGGAGGCGCGTGGGGGGGCAGGCGGCCGCCGAGATGGGCCTGGTGAACAGAGCCATTGAGCAGGACCAGACAGGAGAGGCGGCGTATGCGGAAGCGCTTGCCCTAGCCAGAGAGATCCTGCCCCAGGTCTGCCTCCACCTTCTCCTTCTCAGACCATTAAATCCTCCTTCAGTTTAGCCATTTTTCCACTCCTCGCAATCTTTCTCTGCGGGCTTCTGTCGTTCCGTATTTCTTCTACTCCAGCTCAGACGCCTGCAGTCGGCAGGGTCACGGTGGCAGCGGAGTGGAGAAATGGGCCAACCGTTGCAAACATACGAGTGTACTATAATATGCCGTACTGTGAAGCAAGTTAAAATATGTAGAAAATACAAATATTTTACATAATAAACAATATTTTCAATTCAATTAGAGTCGCTCGCAACTATCCAAGAGATAGACACCGTGTCCTGCCACAGGAAAGGAATAACTGATGTCCTCCCAAAAAGGTTTGTAGTTGTCTATAGATGCCACAAGGAGGCGACACGGGGTTACTTTTGATTTCAAGAAAATGTCAATTTCAAAGTGCACAGAATTAGCTCCACCTATGATGAGAATGAGATTGAATCGGTTTGTTTGACTTGAGTCAATTTATCAAACCGTCCCTCAGGCTCCCATCGCTGTGCGGATGGCCAAAGAGGCGATGAATAGAGGCATGGAGGTAACCAAGTTGTTTCGTATCATTGACATTTTATACCAATTTGGTGCCGTGCCTGACGTTTGACTCTTGGCTAGGTTGACATCACCTCAGCGATGGCCATCGAGAGGATGTGCTACGCTCAGGTAAATGACAACTCCACTTGTGTGCGGTGTTGAGCTCTTGTGTTGGCTCTCGTTAGCTTGCGCAGGTGTACCTAATAAAGATGGCGGGTGTGTCGACTTATTTCAGGTCATCCCGACACGGGACAGACAGGAGGGAATGGCGGCCTTCATAGAGAAGAGACCTCCGTTTTACATTGGCGAATAAGCTGTTTTTATTTTTTTAGGACGAATCACTTATTTTTGTAGCCTCTGCGCTAGCCTATGTATGTTCTTTATTTCCTATTTAGAAATCATGACACGATAATATCAAAGTGGATACTTGCCCCCCCCTTTTTTTTTTTTATTACAATGACTCAAAACCTCAGAAAGAAAATTATCAATCGTATACAATAAAATAAATGTGATGCAACTCTTAACAAGCTAATACAGTTTCTCCTTCAAAGCGTATTGACACATTCCATTCCCGCGCTGCACTAACGCACATGCTCACTCATGGCATGCATCTGACAGGGATAAAATTATAACGTTACGAGAAAAAAAGTCGTTAAAAATGGACACCTTTGCGGCTATGTGAAAAAGATAAAATCACATTACAGGAATGGAGTCGCATAGTTGTGAGAATGAAATAAACATGAGTATTAAGTCAGGAAGAAGTTACGAGAGTAGTCGCAACGTTTATGAGAATGTCATTATGTAGCCGGAATAAAGTTTTAAAACAATAAAGTCATGCAGTTACATGAATCGTAATATCAGAAGAAAACAGTAGAAACAAGTTTCAAGATTAAAGTCCGGACATTATGAGGAAAAAAAAAATTTGGTTAGGAAAATGAGTGTGATAAAAATAAAGTTATGCGAGTCTGTCAATTTTGGTCAGTACTCAAGTTACAAGAGTAAAGTTTTAAAGATTTGATTCCAAATTTATAGGCTGATTAACGAAAATGTTCTCTAAAAATTCTGCCATTTTCTCCTATTGCTGCAAAAATGAAGACTTCTAATTTTAGACTTCATTCTTGCCCGCATTTCCAGTAAAACTAACAATTATTTTCGTAGTCTTTCCGTGTCACGAGAATAAACTGAAAACGTTATGAGATGTTTTGAGAGGAAAAAGTATTTTTTTTTAATTAAGAGAATCCAGCAGTTATGAATGAGAATGAAGACTTAAATGTTACAAGGAAAAAAGTGAGTTGTAAATATTCTGCCTTATAATTTACAAGTTTCTTCTTGTAAAATTCCTAAATCCTGAGATGACATTTCATGAGTGACTATTTTTTTCTCGTAAAATTACAAATTATTCTCTGGAGTATTCGTACTTTACACTGCCACTAAACCATACCCACCACATTTACGCTTATGTCATTCTGTGTAGCTCGCAATACATATTTTCACCTGTGTTTCATATTCTTTTGTGTTCTCATTTGACAGCACTTGAGTAACATTGCGGCATGCTCCAGCTCATTCAACAAGAACAAAATCTCATCGACTTTGTAGCATACTTGAAACATTCGTGTGTAATATAAATAAGGTACGTGTGCAAAACACTGCGCATTCTCCGTCCATTCATTTTTACATAAGAGAGATTCACTTGGGTCTTGCGGGGTTGAGTACCTGAAAGAGAAAAACAATTTGACGCTGTCAGAGACCCTTTTAGGAGGCGGGAAAAGTTTTTTTTCCTGCATGTTAAAAAAAAAAATGCTAAGAATTAAATAGATCAGAATAACAATACCTATACCTCAGCTTGAGCTCGAAAAAAACAACTTTAAAATTTATTTACCCTGGTGAAGTTTAATGATAAGGTGGCGGGCGGGCAGTGGTGGGCTGGCCTGTGCGCGCCCGGTGGCGTTCCAGGCTTTCCAATATGCTCTCCGTCAGCTGGCCAACATCCGGGTGTGTTTGCGGGTTGGCGTGCACCCGTTCCAGCTGCTGTAGGCCGCCTTCCTCCAACAGCATACTGCAATAGCGCCCGGCTGCGCGCGGGTGCACACACCCACACAGACCCAAGTACAAAAATATTAAAATGTCACAAATATTCCTAATATTGTAAATCCCGCCTATTTGCGAGTCACCATTTGCAAACTTTTTTTTGGGGTGGGGGGGCTGATCTGTGTTTCTTTTCAAAGTCAATTAATTTGTAAGCCATTTCATTTTTATTAGGGTAATGTAAGGTGAGTCAAGAGCATCGTCTATTTACTTTATAGAGTTTTTGCTATTTGTGTTGGGGCCTGGTTCCTAATTCCTGTGATGGCTTCATTGTAAGCGTAATAAATTTGACAAAATTTAAGAAAACTAACCTGAATTTTGTCATATTTTGCTGTCTTTTTTTTTTTTACTGTTTTGAACAACAACCAAAAAAATAATCACAGTATCTGCATTCTTTTTTTTTTTTTTTTGGAAATACAGTGGTACTTCGGTGAACAACCCTGTCCACAAACGAAATCTATGACTTTCTCATTTCCGTAATTTCCCTGAATATAAGACGCCCCCACCCCCACCCACATAGCACCCTAAAAAGCTTTTTTTTTTACCTCTGTACTTGTGTCTAAGACATTGTGCGTGCCTCACCGTTCTTGCTGCAGACATGTTGCATGGCCCACGCAGCCCACAGCTGGACTCCTGGCGTGTGGAAGCATTCCAGCAGGGGAAAGAAGGGATTAAACGACCTACAAGACAACACACATATACATCAGCAATATTTTCATGCCGTGTGATATCTTTGGACATCGCAAGCCCATATTCCACTGAGTGGCGAAGGTAGCAAATGGTGATTTATTTGTATTTATTTTTTATTTTGTTGCTTTTATCATAGTAAGTTTTAAACAAACTGTATTCTCATTTTTTTTAAACGCAGTGTCATTGTTATTCTTTTTTTGTTTTTGTTATAATAACCTTGGTGAGAGCAGAGACCATGTTAGCACATCGACCTTGGGTGTCAAGGAGATTGGCTAAACGCTCAAACGGCTTCCTATAATTTCTTACCTGTATGCCACCATCTCGCAGTCAGGCGCAGGCCACTTCATGATGACGTCATGCTAGCAGAACAGCAAAGCGTGAGGCTCAGTCTGATTTTTTTTTGAAATACGCTTTCCTGTTAGATACTCTTACCAGCTGCTCCAGCAGGGAGGACCTGAGCTCAGGTCCGAGTGTCCAAGCGTCCTTTCCCCGTGACGTCAGGTGCGCCAGGATGCCGGCGGCGAAGTAGCTCACCTCCACCTCGGGGCTGTGCAGCAGAGTCCTGATGTGGTCCAGGAAGGTGTGTACCATCAGTTCGCAATGCAGCTCACCCACCTCCGCTATGTTGTTCTGGCACAGGACAAGGTATTGTTCATCGTTTGACACCTGAATTAAGCATTTGGTTTTCATGGACATTTACAGCAAGTCAGAATTTAGACTTTCATTGCTTCAGTGTGGCACAGTGAACTCCCACATATTCGCCATTGGGCATTCACAATTGTTTTGTTGTTTTTTTTTTGTTTTTTTTAACCTCTCCTCCGTTATTTACTGTAAAACTTGCCTATTCACTATTTTTGTTCTCAGGGCAACACAATAGCATAACAAGTATTACTTTGGCGCCATCTGTTGGAATCTTTTTTCACGGTTATTTCACGATGGTTTTATTTGAATGACAGTCAAAACTGAAAGTAGTTTCAGCTTCTCTCCCCACGCAGCTACTAATAAAAGCCAGTGTAGTCTACTTTGCCGTTACAATTTGCCTAAAGTTTATTGTAGTGACAACTTAATACCATTTGTGTAAATTGCTAGTTGCGCATAATTGTTTGGCCATGTGTGATATTATGTCAGTTTGTGCTAGCGTTTTATTCAGGCTAGTATGCTAGGTAATGCTATTGATGATTATCATGTGAAGGTGGATTGTGTTAAATCATCGAACTATTGACTAACTTATATACCGAGTACCTATTATTAATTAATAACAGATTTTCACTATTGTTAATTCCTAAAAGATTTTCGCTATTCGCAGCAGGGCGCAGTTCCTATACACTAATAATGTGCTATCGTCTCCAGCCATCATTGTTGTTCTCACAGAGCTGAGAGAATATTTGCATTTCTTGTATGCTCTGTATGTGTGTGAAAGTTAACAGTTGTTTGAAGGTTTGTAATTATATATTACATCCATGCTAATTTACATTAGCCTGTTTATGTCCTAACCCCCTGTGGGCATTAGGGCGAGCGGACTTTCGTTGGACAAAATGACACTGTTGGTTGAAAATCTTGTTGAATGTTGAAATAAACAATGTTTAATTTGTTTGAATTTTTTTTGCAACTTTTTGTGATGATGCTTAATTTTTCAATGTTGTCCAATAATACAAGTTGCTCACCAAGAGGCCGAGGACTTTTTGCTGAATGGACGACTCGTTAGGGAAGGACTGGGGAGAAAGGGCAAAACAAGTGAGTCACTCTTCCCACACAGGCAGACATGAATAGCGGCTCATGTGGCACGGCTGACATGATGTTATACATGATTAATAGCTCGATCACAGCTGCCGCACACAATTTTAGAAACTTTGATATACTACCAGCATAACAACAACTCGAAATTACTTCAACTGAAAATATTATTTTAAGAGCCTACTGGGGGGATAAAAAAACAACATAGTATTTGCAAATTACAATTTTTTTTTAATGTATAGCTAAAAACTGCAGTTTTGTTGTCAACGGCCTGTGTCTGCGTCTACCTCTAGAACCTTAATGAACAGGTCGAGTCCTTGGTTCTCAATAAAATGGCGGCAAGTTGTTGGCGACTCGTCGGTGAGGTTCCAGAGGGCGCTCAGGGTGAATTTGAGGGTGGCGTCCACAATGCCCTGAGTGGCCTTCTGACGCACAATGTGGAGCAGTTGCTGTGGGGGGACCAGGCCGCGGATAGTATTTAAATCGTGAGAGGTGACCACTCTGATGAATTAAAAATTGTATTGTTACCTTCACTATGAACAACTCTGCTCCCAGCTGAGCTGTTTGCTCTGTGGACAACTGGGGAAAACATTGAGAAAGTCAATCGTTAAAAAGGAGAGAGAGAGAGGAAATATGTATATTTATATACAAACAAACAAACATACCTTAGCAGCCAGTATGGAAATGATAGCGACAGCCATCCTCTGCATATTCTGGTCCTCGTGATTGCAGAGCCATTGCATGACCAGTTTAGCGGCCTCAAACCTTGAAAATAAGCACCCCCATTTTTTTTCAAGACTGCATTAAGTGCAACTTGGTGTAAACGTGTGTACCTAATGTTGTGGCCGGATTAAGCATTCACTTGCTACCTGTTAAACGGCACCTCTTGTAAAATGCGGTCGCTGCAGAGAGACAGCAGGCAGTTCTTCTGCAACTGGAAATCGGAGAGGAACATCATGCATGTGGCTGTCATTGCAAATTGAACAACAAATGAGATGGTGAGTCTTGTGTCGTTGCTATTCTTTGTTGACATGTAAGCCACATTTCTCTGTTGTTGCACTCCAGATGTTGTCGGGCAACTGGAGGCAATTCATAATGCACCGACATGTTTTGCACCATTTTCATTTCTTGAAATAATGACTTCCCATCCAATAGACGCCTGCCTTTAATGATCTATGTTCATAGACATGATTTTTCACATACTTAATGTTTTAGCGGTTTACTGCTGAACTGAACTGTGTTATTAACCAAAACAGCAGCACTAACAGAAACATGTCTCTACCTGCTGGTGGTTGGGGAATGTCCTCATGGCCTCCAGCAGGAGCTGAGTGACTGTACTGAGCAGGCGGACCGGCATCCCTGCCGCCAGGTCCTGCTTGGTCAGGTTGAAGACGCAGGCGCTGGCCGCCAGCTGGACGTTGAGCGTGGCCTGGTGGTTCTTCATGCCGAGGACTACCAGCTGGAAAGACATTTTTTTTATTTCAGTCCAACACCGACAAATGCGCAACTGAGGTGAATTCGGCCGCGTGCGTCCGCACCTTTAAAATGTCGGGCCGAGGCTTCTCCATGACGTGCGTGAGGCTGAAGAGGTGAAAGAGCGCCTCTCTGACAAAGCCCTCCCGCTCGCTGTAGCGCCGCAGCGCCTCGCAGATCTGCGTTTCGTTAGCTTCCCCCGTCACCTGGTCAAACACACACAATTTTTCCGATCGCTGCAGTCCAAGCATGGGCAAGATTTTGTGCTTAACATGTGATTTGAATTCAGCAATTATAGGGAAAAAAACAGCTAAATAAATTTAACAAATAATACACTATGTGGCCCACCCCTGATCGATGCTGTCGACGTATAGTGACAGGCAGACAGTTCAATGCTCTCCCACTAGATGGCAGAAGGTGCATAATTTTAACTGTGCATCCACCTTCTCCCATTCATACAACAGACGAATATCTTACTAACAGGCTCAGATTTCACACTGAGTGTGTACATTTGGGAGTAAATTGATTTTTTTACTAATACATTGTTATATTTTGGGGTGGTGTACTGTGAGATTTTTTTTTTTTAATTCTAAAATATGTGTCTTGGTGCATGTTGTATGCCAGGGGGGAAAACGATAAAAATCCTACTTTCAGGTTTCCATCTCCAGAGAGGAATTCAGAAAACCCAGCATCTGTGGCCAGAAGTCCAACAAATGTCATTTGCGGTCTCTCGTCCACAAATGCCTTCACAGCCGCATCTGTTACCTGTAAAAAGACATCCGACTGTCAGCAATGCTCAAATGTTTGTATAAGGTGACATATGATGGAACATTGATTACCTGTTTCCTTCCCGACACATCCAGCGAAACAAGAGCGGGAAGTATACCGGGTTGTCCAAGCAGCTGACGGGCAACGTCGGAGGTGAACTGTTTGTCATCGCTGATATCCAGATGCTGCAGACAAAGGCGCACACAAAATAAATTGTCTGGCCTTCGGCGTTGGAGCTCCCCGTCCGCTCACCTGCAACACATCCAGCTGGCCAATGACCGCTAGCAGCTGCGCGCTGCTCATCTCCAGCCTCTTCAGCTGATGCAGCGTGAGCGAGCGCAGCCTCTCCTTCAGGCCCAGCAGCGGGTTCAGGTTAGTGACCGATGTATTGGACAGATCCAGGCTCTCCAGTCGCGGCAGGGCGCACACGTCGGCCAGACCAGAGTCGTAAAAGTCCACGTTGGCCAGGGAGAGCGAGCGCAGGCCTTGCAGGGCGCTGAAACCGTGGCGGCTCGGCTCCTCCAGGGAGGACATGGTGAGCCCCGTCAGCACCAGTCGCTGGAGGGACTCCTGTGTTGCGGGAGACGCACAGGGTTCAGTGTGGTCTGTCTTTGTAAGGAGTGCATACAGGCATGTTGATTTAAGGCAGGGGTATGGAACTCCGGTTCCTCGAGAGCCATATCCTGCCTGTTTTAGATCCCTTACTACTCCAACACACCTCATTCAAATGATCAGCTAGCGTGCGCACACACACACACACACACACACACACACCTTTCCTTACCTGACAATATTTATTGGTGGCCAGCCCATGCAAAATGTCGGGGATGGTCAGGTCAGCATTGACCCGGGCCGCGTCCAGCTCGGACAGCCTGTGAGGACAGAGGGCTCGCTGGAAGGCCTCGGCAGATATGCGCGCCGTGCGGATGCACGCCCGCCTCAGCCGCAGGTACTCGCAGTTGCGGAACACGCCCACTGTGCTATCATTCAGCAGACCTGTCATGGATATGCGCAATTATTATTACTTTTTTTAATGCATTGCCCTGTTTAATTGGAGTCAGCAGGCAGCTTTTGTCTCTCTCTATGTTGTATGCTCACAATGTTGTAAGGAGTGCATATAGGCACTCGTCAGAGTATTTTTAACGGAAGTATCTGAAATACAGAGTGTGTGTATTGCCACGTTTGGAATGTCGTGTGTTTACCCTCGGTTGCCATTTTGGCCAGCAGCTGGTCCGCGAGCTCCTGCGGGAAGAGCACGGACTCCCGGAAGCACAGTGACCCGTCGGCGCGCTTCACGCATATGCACTCCAGATTCTGGCTCACGAAGGTGAGGCACAGGTCCGTCAGGCTCGCCGGGGACGCCTCATCCTGCAGACAACACAGCACCACCTCGTCGAGCACAAAAAGAAGTCGGACGTGAAACCGAAACAGTGAAAGCAAAACCTACCGCATTGAGAAAGCCGGAGGCCATTGTAGTGGAACTGTTTTAGCTTATGCGACAGGGGAAAGTGTTGTCCTCACAGCCGGTGGAGTGGCTCCAGCTTAGTCGATCCTCTCGCCCGAAAGCCGGGCCAACTGCTGAGAGACTGCAGGGGAAGCTAACTAGCTAGCTTACTTGTTGTCGCCTCCATTCGTTCTCCGAACCACGGCGTCGTCGACTGTCCACTTTGTTGCAAATCATGTTTGATGATTGTTTGCAGTTAGAATTTTATGTCAGTAGAGACGGCGTAAGCGCATGAGTTTAAAGCAAAAAAACAGTCATGTCTATTTTGACGTGACAGACCGTAAACAAAAGGTCACAACTGCGGAAGTAGATTAGGCAGAAGGAGGCGGCTCTACGGAAACTGGTGAGGGTCCGTTTCCAACCAAGACTCTTTGTGCAAACGTCAGTTTTTCTTGTTTGCTGGACTATGTCATCAATTACTGTATGCTAGGAAATGACGTTTATTATCTTTTTCATTCAATAAATATAAGGCTACACACAAAAGGATGGGCTGGTAACAAACAGGAGCGAATGAGAGGGTGAGTCTTTTTGTGATTTCAGCCATTTTTACATAATCTAAATTATTTTTACTGTTGTGGTAATGATTAATATATGAGCAAAATTTTAATCACCTTCATTTGCACTGAAGGAATAAGCAGCGGCTCTACGGAAATAGCCAGTAGCGGCAAGCAAGGGGGTGGCTTCATTTTTAATTCGATTGCGTCCTTTTTACAACAAACTTAAATAGTTATTTTGGAAAATTTTAGTGATTAAATCCTGAGCCACGTTGTCCCCTCGCCTTCTAAGAAAAAAAATGCCTGAAGTCTTTCATGAATGAAGAGGTACTTTTAAATATGTAATAAAAAATAGATGAATTAATGATAACATTGCCAATTAGCAACATAAATCCTAAGTTTGAGAATCTACGGTATCTGATGAGGGACAGTTACAAAAACAGGAAGTAGTAACTCAGGAGGCGTGTCTACGGAGGTTTGTAAGGGGATTGACCAGAAAGCACATGCTAAGCGGTTTGTTTTCGCCCTTGCTCTTTTACCCTCATTAAGTTATCTATTGTCGTGAGTGATTCATTTTTGGATTCGATTTGTGCCAACATCAATTTCTACTGGTGTATAATATAGCTCAAAAGTGGCACCGTCGAAAGTTATATCACAGCAAGGTCATAACGAGCAAGTGGACGAGTAGCGTGAAGTTCATTTCATCACTGGACGTCAAAAATACATATAGGACATCGAAATGGCGGGACTGGTTAACTTTGAAGATGAGAAAGAAGTGGAACAGTTCCTGGATAATTTGGGTGTGGAGTACAGCTACCAGTGCTACAAGGAGAATGACCCCGAAGGTAAATTTAAAAAAAAATTAAAAAAAAAAAAAACAAAAATATATATATATATATATATATATTAACGAGAACACAATAGCATCAGTTTCTTTAATTATTATTGTATTATAAGCACCAATGCAGCTGTCATCCCTAATATCATTAGCACTTGATAAGTGGATATGTACCATATATTTATTTATTTGTTTTTTTTTTTTGTCTCAACGTGTTTGTCAGGATGCCAGAGGTTAGCCGATTACATGGAAGGAGTGAAGCAAAACTACGAGGCTACGGCACAGGTGCTCAAACACAACTGTGACAAACATACTCATGCAGAAAGCTGCTACAAGCTGGGGGCTTACCATGTCACAGGCAAAGGTACAAATGATCTATCTATCTATATCTGTGGAAATGCACATCTCATGATTCAAAGTATACCACAAGAAAAAAAAACAGAGAAAACACAATAATATTAGAAGGAAATGTTTTTATTGTCAGAAAATTATTTTTTGTATTATCACAGTAGGGCGGCACAGTGGTTAACTGGTTAGCACGTCGGCCTCACAGTGTAGAGGTATAGGGCTCGATTCCGGCTCCGGCCTTGCTGTGTGGGGTTTGCATGTTCTTCTCATGACAGCGTGGGTTTTCTCCGGATACATTCCAAAAACGTGCATGACAGGTTGATTGGGCACAAAATGTCCTCACATTATGAAGAACAGCAAATCTTCCTACCAGGTGGTGTGGGCGAGTGCCTGAAAAGCGCCTACTCTTGCTTCATGCGAGCATGTGATGCCGGCGGAAAGAAATCCATAGACGCCTGCCACAACGTGGGTCTACTGGCTCATGACGGGCGGGCCATAGAGGGTGGCACCCCCGAGCCGGATGCCGCTCGCCGTTACTACGAGAGGGCGTGCGCGGGCGGCTTTGCGCCGTCCTGCTTCAACCTCAGTGCCTTGTACATCGAGGGCAACGCCAAAGGGGTCAAGCCGGACATGGCGACGGCGCTCAAGTACGCCATGAGGGCCTGCGAGCTGGGACACGTGTGGGGCTGCGCCAATGCCAGCCGCATGTACAGGCTGGGCGACGGCACTGAAAAGGATGACAAGAAGGCGGAGGAGCTGAAGAATCGGGCCAGGGAATTGCATGGTTTGCAAAAGGAGAAGCAGCTCAAATTTGGGGAGTGATGACAAGAGGCCTGTGTGTGTGTGTTTGTGTGTGTGTGTGTTTGTGTGTGTGTGTGTGTGTGTGTGTGTGTGTGTGTGTGTGTGTGTGTGTGTGTGTGTGTGCGTGTGTGTGTGTGTGTTTGTGTGTGTGTGTGTGTGTCCACCACAAACTGAAAGTGTCAGAGTGCAACATGTAAGTGTAATTTCTCATTGACTCAAGGGCGTTGTAAAAGTCATTGTATGTAAGAGAATGATTTATTTCTGACAATGATGTCTAATTTTTGTGATAAAGAGAAAAAGTCTGAAACTTTCAAGATAAATGAAAGTGTTATTTTGTAAGAAGATATTAGAAACACACATGCAGCACCTGCTTTCGACTCATGCCTCGACACTCACACACAGAGAAGCCAGTGTCACCCCGCACCAACTGCCTCCTCTTTTTTTGACTGTTCTCATGAACGAACAAAAAGTTATATTACAATAAAACACTGCAAATTCAAGATGTGGTAATATGAGAGAAAAAGTAACAATATTGCAAAAAAATGGTTCTGCTACCGAAAAGTTGTAATACTACGTGTGACGTTTATGACTTTTAACAAAAAATTGTATTACATGGAGAAGTCTGTAATACATGAAAAATTATATGATTGCATTAAAGAAAATGCCACAATGATTTAATTGGCTGAATTATGTGGAACGAGTGGCAGTAATAATGTTGAAAGTGTGAAGGCCTCAGACTTCACGCACATAGTAATGTGCCTTTTTAAAATTCAGATTGTTTTTCTTGTAATAATACGATCAAATATATACAGTGTAAAATATGGTACATTTAAACACAAATGAATATGTATACTGTTCATGTGTAGTGATTTTAAAGAAATACTGTTCCATATCGATGAGATTGTAAATGACTGCAATGTAGCATTTTGACCACCAGGTGGAAGCAGAGTAAAAAGAGGCTTTTGTAATCCTGTTCAGCGACCTGATTCAATTTGACCGTGAAAAAAGTGGCATAACCATTCGTAAGCTTACACTAAAATTAGTCTGCCGGCAACAACATAGTGTTTACCCATGCGAGCCATTTGTCCATTTTGTGTTTTGCACATTTGACCATTTTATTCGACGTTCTCGGTCTAGCCAGGACGTAACAAGTGACGTTGCCTGAAGAAGAAGATCTTGCCATAGATACCAAAGAAGAAGAAGCGGACCAAGCACAAGCACCGCCTCTCCGCCACTCATCCCCTTGGTCCTCATTCAAAACAGAACACAGCTGTTGAGGGTGCACAGCCCGCCCTCTCGCTCCTCTCTTGTCTACCCTCGGCCACTGCCTACTACCAACCCCCCTAAAACTGTCTCATGAACCCGCTGGAATATCACACGCACAGAATAACAACGTCCTTCGGTGCTACGGTAAGTGTTACTATGTTATTCTTTTGCTATGTGACTTCCAAACCGTCGAGTTGGCTTCTCTCCGCTAACGCAGCGCAATGTTATTACTGCTATATTTTTTGGGGGGGTATGTTTGTTTTCACATGCGGCGTCCTCCTCGATCAAAGCGGTCAGCGTGGATGAGGCGTGTAGTGACGTTGATTTATAGATAAGTGCTGTCTTTTTGAAAATATATATATACATTTTGTTCTCAGTAAACCGTGCTTTGATACCTAAAAATATGTACATTTTGTTCTCAGTAAACCGTGCTTTGATACCTGCGTGGAGCTCATTAGCTATTTTTAATGTCAGCTAATTTGAAGACAAAACCACGGAGGCCAGTGGCCGCACACGCACGCCATGAGGTACCGCCGCGGAAGTGTGCTTGCGATATCGCGTACATTATATCGCGCGCTCCTCTTTCGTCCAGCTAGCCACATGCTAATCTCGTATAAAAAGCCCTTCCTCGCTTTTATGGCGCCACTTTAGTCGCATTTTGGTTGACTGCTTTCATTTGGGAGCAGGGGGGTTCGTTTGTGGACTTTCAAGGCGATCACTTGATGTCGTAAGCCCGGCGGCGACAGCAGTTTGTTCCGGCTGTGGGTTGTTGGGCGGGTGATAGTAGAGGTGGAAGCCCCCCGCACAGTTAACCCCCAAGGGAGTGCTTTGGGTGTGGCGGAGGTTCTCCCTCTCACAATACTGCGTGAGCATCCAGTCATCTTCATGTCTTAAGCGTTTCTTTATCAGCAATCTAGACACAAACACGTGTAAAGTTCTGAAAAAGAGGTAGCATGAATAAAAGGGTGTTTGAAGCACATTCTTATTTTGTGTGTGGGGGTGGAGGGGTAGAACGAAACGGTGGCAGTCTTTCCCCAACATTTATTGAGCCAGAACACATTTTATATGAGTAAACGGCACACAACCAAACAAAAACATAACAAAAAGTGGATACACACATCAATTATGTACGTTCTGACATCTACTGGACATTTTTATCCGTCACAGTACTGTATGTCACTGGCAAAGATAGCAGCATAAAAATATGATTAGCAAATTAATATTAGTTTTCTGACCAGTGAAGCTCAGATGCTGGAGTAATGTCAATACAGTGACAACTCACTAAAGCACCGGTTAGAGACCATGACCTGCATCCAATGTTAAATGCGCTCTGAGAAAATGTGTATGATTGCCGATATTATTGTAAGTGTTCAAAGCTTGAACCCTAAATATACACCCAAACTATGATCCCCAAAGACGTTATCTCTCAGCATTACCGAAAATTATATCAGGCAAATAAAGTTATAAAAACAGTATTGTATACGTAGACCGCAATGTCATTGTCCCATATTGTTTTTATTTCACCCACCACCACACATCGAACCTTGTGGAATCTTTCAATCAGCATTGCTTACTTGCTGCAGAAAGAACACAATAATGTGCAGATGATTGCAAATGGGTGTGTTTTCCAGAGAAATTCTCAAGTAGGCGAGTTTGCAAATTGATGGGAGTTCGTACGATTATCTTGAATGAAGCGTCCAAGCTTGGCTTCCAGCAGGCTGTTTTGAGTGTGCGGGTGCTTTATAAGTCTCAACGCACATTAATGTAATGCATGTTGTTGTCAATCAATAATGGGAGCCCAGAGTTATTGTCTTTTAATGGCGTATTCATTTGCCACTCGACAACTTGCATATTTCAATAATGTGCTATGCAAACAGTTTGCTGTCATGTGGATGTAATTCTAGGCCGAATTTAGAAACCTTTTTGCACTGTAGAAGGTGCGCTTTCCCTAAGCTACTCAAGATTGATTCCAAAGCGCTGGACACTCTGCCACACTTAACATCTGACACAGGAGTCAAGGGTTCATTCAGACTCGTGACCAGAATGCTTGCTGCTGCTGTGTGTCGCAGTCATGCTGAAAGAGGCAAAATCAATTCTATTTGGCTTTAGCCACCCTGCTGCTCCTCTTCCTCCATCTCCTCCCGCATACAGGAATAGTGTATTGATTAATGGCACAACGCTCCGTAATGGCAGCCTCCAAAATTGATTTATTGTTTAGATACTGTAGATACAGTGGGACCTTTCCAAAATAGAACACTGCAGTCCCCTCTGGTGTAGTTTTGAGAAAAAAAAGTCACGGTACCACACTATTCAAATTTTGGAATAAGGCATTGGCAGCATTTGTAAAAGTGTAGTGCTATGAATACTTTCCAAGGGGCACCATCCCAGCCACAAGGTTTGACTGATTCCATGCCATCCTGTCATTACACCTGCTTGTGTTAAAAACCAAGACAAGATGGTCTCCCTGCGAATTTACAAACCTTGCCGCTCCTTATGGACTCGGCTAATCCTCGCCTTACCCGCCACATGTAGGTCCATCTGTTGAATGCTGTCGTGTAACTGCTCAGCCCGAGGCCTGCAAATGTGATTAGGAAGAGATTACGTGTGTGTGTGTGTGTGTGTGTGTGTGTGTGTGTGTGTGTGTGTGTGTGTGTGTGTGAGAGAAATGAAACTCGGAACTAGAGCCTTGGAGCAAACACAGTAGGGCTTTTGCATCATCAAATTCGACCCCATGCACTTTCTCACCTTGAGTTTATCGACGATATAACTTGATTTGCATCATGACTCGCCTTGGCTCATGTTTAATATCCTACAAGAATATTGTGGCGTTTTGCCAGAGTGTGCCAAAGTGTCCTCAGGTGTGCCCAAAATGTGACATTCTGATCCATGGTGACCTTTTGGTACGCTTTCAGAAAGTGCTTAAAGTGGCCCAGCCCCAAAGTGAAACAGAATGATCTTAAAATGGAGAAAAGTGATCTCATAGTGGACTAAAATGTTGCTCAGGTTGGGCTCAAATGTCCTAAAAGTCAACCATTATGTTCATAAAGTGAACCAGGATGTCCTCAGTGGACTCGGATGTTCCTCACAGTGCACCAAAACGTCACCAAATTTGACCAGTACCCCCAAAATGTGACATTCTAGTTCACTTTCACAAATGGACTACAGAATATCCTCAAATTTCAACTTAGACTTTCAAAATTGTCACTAAATACGTAGTCAGTGCTCACATGAAACAAAATTTCAATTCTTTAGCGCACCATCCTGTCAAAATACCCTGACTTCAAATAGTTGAGAGCGAAATGCACAAAAGTATGGAAAAAGTGGACAAGAATATTGCTCAGACTGGGTTACAATACTTGGAAAATGGGTCAGAATGTTCCTGAAGTGGACCTGAAAGGTCTTTTTTGGGGGGGGGGGGTTGCAACAATAACGTCCTTATCGTGTACCACATTTTCCCCAAAGTGCATCAGAAAGTGTTCTTTTTGATGAATCAAAATATCCTGAAAGCACCCCTTCGCCCCTCCCAATCCCGACTGATAATGTGGCTTCTCAGTTGCCAAGGTAACATTCAAACGTTCGTCTGGCACATATAAAAAGTCACGCGGCGTATCTGTATCATTGTTTCTATGAAGCGAGAGTGGCTTGCTCACATGAGGTGTTGCTGGCTGTTGCCTGAAGCGGGTGTCGTAGATGCTTGGATTTTTTTTTTCCGTATGTGTGGGAAGGAGGTCAGATGTAATGCATGCGCGCACCAGCTTTCACTTGAGGCGAATCTCAAAGGCTGGCACCGTGTTTCACCGTCTAACTTTTTGTTTTGCATTTTTCATACGGTGCCTGCTGCAAAAAAAAAAAGCACAGGTGCCGTGACACTGTGCAAACAGCAACGGCAAATAAACGTTTCGTTGAAGACCGACAGGCTCTCGGTGTCCTGGTCAGCGGGTGAGGCGTGAGTTCAGGGCCAGGGGCTTGTAAGCCTTCTACGGTACGCAGAATGTCAGCTATGAACCTTTCACTCCACTTGACACCTTTGAGCTGCCAGCCCATCTGGCATATCTGGAATGATTGGAGAGGCGGAAGTTTCATCTGTGATCCGCGTGTATGAGTAAATTACGTTTGGGCTGGAGAGGAAACGGATGACCGGTAAAGCGTTTCATACGATTCGCCTAATGGTTTCAAATGTCGATGAATGTTACAACTGTCTTCAGTGTAAATATATGGTGCCCTTTTTACGGGCAGCAAGAAACTCAGTCCTCAAGTAGCTGACAGAACTCGGCACAAAGCCTCAAAGTACAACAGCTAAGTGCTTTAGTGCAGCGGCCCCCAATCCCCGAGTCGCGGACCGGTACCAGTCCGTGGGTCATTTGGTACCGGGCCACACAGAAAGAATATGTTACTTGCATTACTTCTGTTGTATCTATTTTGGAATCTGAAAGATGTTTTATTTTGAAAATTTACCAGATTATCTCTTACATTCGTCTGCGGTATGTCACTCTTGACGCAGGTCAAGGCGCGCTTCTCGGTCACGTAATAGGTTACAGCTAAAATGAAACCCAGGAGCTAGCAAAATGAGTCAAAAACATACGTCTTTGGGAAGGGGAAAAGGCCCAGCCAGGTGACAGAAGAGGAGCCTACGACCTTCAAAAGTAAGAAGGCTACATTTAATGGACAGTATCAGGAGTCCTGCTTAAAATATGGATTTATCTCAACGGGAGATCCCCACGCTCCAAGCCCACTCTGCATAATATGCGGCGATGGTGAGTCGTATTTTTCATGCACTTTGTATTTGAGGTGTATCTTATTTTGAAGGCACGTTTAAATGTTACTATACCGACCAGAGAGCGTTGCGGCCGGATAGGACCTTTCTCGTGTCATGATTCGTGTTTATTCTTATGTTTCGAAAATACCACCGTTTTCATGCAGGTCCTATCGTGTTATTTTGCTGTAAAGGCCGGTGCCTGAAAATACCATCTGACATTAAACCGGTCGGTGGGGCGAGAAAAGTTGGGGATTGCTGCTTTAGTGGACAACAAGTCCTATGAAAGCATGAATACTGTCAACTTGAATACCCGTTGGCACAAACATTAAAACAACCACCTTATAATTGTTGATAATCATGCTACATTTGGTCATGATCATACTTTCCT